TTGAAGATGTATTTTTTACTTGAAGAATCTGCACCACTCAACAGGATTGCAAGTTCTTTTCTCTACAATTATTAGTCTTTCTCTTTTTCTTTTCATTTTAGGGGAAGTTTTGACATCTTAGGTGTTCTGGAACTTACACCTGGGATATTCAATAATTGTATCCGTGTTCATCCTCCTTCTAGAGTTAGATGTAAGGTATAGGAGTTTTCAGGGCTATTGCCTAATACTCTTGAATATGAACTAGTTCCGCGTAAGGTTATTTGGGCAAAGTCTATTCAACAATCATTGTCTGGATAAAGAAGACTTATCCAGACAATGATTGTATTTTCTTGCAAATGAGAGAGAAAGATCAGCTTTTGCCCTGTATATCTATTCGAAAATGGATAAGGGTTGCAAAGTATAACTGCACCCTTGCCCAATAATGTTTTTAGTAGAAATTGATTTGCATTTCCCATTTTATATAGGCTTGAGATATATATTGCTCTAGTGAAGTTTATGTGTATCAAAGATTTGGTGATGAGAATGCTTATAAATGATGTTGAACTGCTTATGCTTCCATCCAATTTCTGTATGCAAGTATAAGCAACTCAACATCATTTATAAGCGTTCTCATCACCAAATCTTTGCTACGCATGAACTTCACCAGAGCAATATATATCTCAGACCTATATATAATGGAAAATGCAAATCAATTTCTAGTAAAAACATTTCCGGGCAAGGGCACACTTCTACTTTGCAACCCTTACTCCTTTACTGATGGATATTTAAGGTAGAAGATAACATTTCTCTCCCACTTGCAAAGAAATACAGTCCTATATCTTATTTACCCGAACAATGGTTGTTGAATAGACTAGCCCAGATATCCCCACGTGGAACTAGTTCAAATTTAAGAGTATGAGGCAATACCCCTAAGAACTCATACACCTTATGTCTAACTCTGGAAGAAGGATGGGCGTGGATACAATTATTGAGCATCCTAAGTGCAAATTCCAGAGCACCTGAGATGTCAAAACTTCCCCTGAAATACAAAGAGAAAGACTATTATTAATTATAGAGAAGAGAACTTGTATTCTTGTTTAATGCTGCCAGTCCCTCAAATTAAAGTAAGATCATCAATATATATGTAGTTTGTAGAATAATCAAAGGTGTTAACTCCTATACCTTTACCACTAGGCCATCTCCTCGGGGAACATCATTATGTTGTTAACCAAAAAATTAATATAAATTTATTCGTACTTATCAATAGGGAGATTACAAAGAAGAGGAGGTTAATCAGTTAGCGGACTACTAGCAAAGATGAGCTGAATTTGAATTATTAATAAATGTACATGATGAAGTTTATAACTTACTTCCAGGAATGAGCTAGAGTAGTATCACAAAGGTGTCATAAGTGGGTTCATCATTCCACTCGCTTTCATGGCATTGAGAATCCTATGCTTGGTAGAACTACCGGGACCTAACAAACAGGCTACATCAATTGGATGGAAGTACAGTAGTAAATAAAATTTGCTAGAAAAGATTTGCAAAAGTTGATGGTCTAAGGAGATCATTATTTTGAAAGACAATAAATATATCAATGACATTATAAAATTATATGATAGAAAATCAATTTTTTGATGAATGAACATATAAGAAAAGTATATATTTGAACAAGTAATGAATACAAGAAATGTTGGTGAAAATTAACCTTTAGATGATTATACTTGTTTTATGCTCAGTTTAGTTTTCTGAAATTTGGGAAATTGCGAGGTTTCATAAATCCTGCCGATCCTAAAGAACGCTGCACTGTTCTCTTCTTAGGAAAGGCATCTGAAATCTAAGTTCTAGGTTTGCTTAAATTCCCTCGAGTCTCAATCGTCGTGGATTTGGTTGACAGAACTCTTGAAGACACAGTTTTCTTCCGTGGACACCCATATTTCTTGATGTCCGATGAAAGACTGAGTGCTTCTTCAACAGGTAGATATCTTGTTTTCCCTGTGTGTACCTTCTTTTCTCAGTTAATACTATGCCCACTTGGAAACTCAATACGATATTTTGGTGGCAGAGTAGTCTGACAAATCTTTGCTGAGGCATGTAACTTGGATCCCTCAGAGTATGAAGAAATAATCCTCTTGCCAGTATCACATATGTCACAACACCAATCCACTGGTGCAGCTACAAAATAGCCCAGCACGCAATACCTGTAAGAAGAGAAAAAACAGTTTTTTTTTTTAAAAAAAGAGGACTACCGACTACGTGTGCATATAAAATACAGACAGTATCAAGTTGATCCACTGTTACTATGGTAGGAATAGGGTGCTATATATGAAGTACCAAGGCAGATTTCAGAGAATCTTAAATGCTACCAAATATGTTGAGAAAGCTGGGTTTAGCATGGCTAAGTTGAATGAGATGGAGAATTTCTCAATCAAGTAAATTTATGTGAAGCTCTGTCAGAAGGTTGAATGGAGAAGATTTGTGTGTAATAACTTGGGATCACCTAGATGTATCTTTATCTCGAGACTGGCTGCACTATATAAACTACACACTAGGGACAGAATTCTGAAATGGATCCTAGCTGTCCTTTCAGAACTCTCCTCTTTTTTTTTGCTTGTACAGTCTCTGCTCATGTATGGCAAAAACTCCTGAAATAGTTTGGAATTCCTCGGGTACCTGAGAGTTGAAATTATGAACCATTATGTGTAACACTATAGCATACTATTTTGAATTCTCTCGTATGAATTTTCACAGACTCTGTTTTCTTTTTCTCCTATTTTTCTCTTTTGTGAGTCTCGATAAAGTGCAACATTATAAAACATGTTTTCATTATTCAAATTACTATAGTACATATTTTTGAATCGTTTATATATAAGCCAAATTATGTCCAATCACCCTCTAATTTGTTTTCTTTTTTCACTTTTGATCTAATCTAAATTAGCTCATTTTGTCTTTAATCTTGAAAACTGTATTGCATTAGCATCATCACTCTTTTGACTGATTGACAAAATTATTACTTCTACTGTTTATTGTGGTTTTCTTTTTCACTATTTTGCTAGCTTTTTCACAATGCTGCAATTATTGAACATCCAAATATTCACATCTTTTTGCACACGCCAGTAAAAAAAATTCAAATATTTTGGAACACTGAGTAGGTGTTTGGTCATAGATTCGAAATATATTTTTACTTTATTTGAAATTTATGAAGTTATGCTTAGTTATACTTTTAATAAAAGAGAGAAAAAAGTCAGATTTCTAACGTTTATAACTAAATACTGATTTTAAATGAAATGAATATTTTTTATGATCAAACAACTCCAAAGTTAATAAATTGGATACGTTTGGTGTGATAGATTAAAGAAACTAATCCCGGGATATATTTTTGGTATCCCTTGAGAGGTAAATAGCACTTGTAGTACCTGCAAAATTCAATTGGTCAAAAGTTGGTGGTGGCGGGGATATATAAGGGTGTTGTTCTTCGTATTTTTGGCTTAATACATCGATAACCCTTGAACTTGCTAGCAAATTTCATTCAGACACTCGAAATAAGACTTGTTTCAATTGAATATCTGAACACATAATGAAATGTTTCTATTAGACAGTTTCGATTGAAATTTTGAAAATATGTTTGACGTGTACTTAAGACAAACATAAAGTTTGGACTAAAGTTACTTAGTTCGACCAAAACCTTTACAGACTTAAATTTTATATGCATAATTATAGTGATTGATTGAATTAAAGAGGCACAATTTGCTAGCTTACTCTGCTTTAAAATCTAGACTACACATTCCATTTAGTGTATCTTTTTCTTCTATTTACCTCTTGACAGGTTACTTCTTTATTTAGTGGCACCACTCCTACGACTATGGGCTAACACCATCCACCACCACAACCAACACAGGCGGATCTCCTTACGTGACAAATCCGGGTGTATTAGGAGGCGTTACACAGATATAAGCCATGATGGGATTTCACTGCAACAAGGCAACCTGTTTTTCTCTATGACCATTACTATTATTATTTCTTCACTTGCATTATTATGAGCTAAATAAGAGAAGAAGTTCCACTGTTTGTGTACTATAAGGTTAGTTGCTGGGACTTATGTTAAAATTGTATGAGCAGAAATTGGCATATGCCTATATATGCATGTGATGCTATTACTATAATTGTTGGAATTTGTTTTTCCTTCCCATCTATTTTGATGTCTAAAGATAGTTTTTTGAGTCCAATCCTTGTATTAAATGATTTTTTTTAATTTACTGAACTCACTTTGTGTAAATTTTAGTTCCCATTGAGGGGTTCAGGTCGTCGTTTTTACACCTTTAAATCCTTGTGGATTTTTTAGTTAAAAAACTATGTGTTTTACTTTTCATGCTCTTTGAACACTAAGTTCGGCTACATGTAATTGGTGAAAACACCAACTAAATCATTTTCATCATAATGTTTTTTGAATTCACAACTTCAAAGTTGGAGATGGAGAATGCGTACCATTCATGCAACTCCTCATCTCGTGTCTATGAGTGTGTTGTGTGTAAATCAACAATACCATACTAAGAAGGAAGCATATAATGACCACTTTCAGTTAGATTATCAATGAACAAAAAACATGTTTAAATTATGATGGCATTCAACTATCCCAAGTTAGTTGAATCAAGACGTATATCCAAAAAATTTTGAATGTGATGGCACTCGGCTATCCAAGTCAGTTGAATCAAGGCGTATGTCAACCCAACTTATACTAGGAAGCTAAAACATACAAGTCCAACAATTGAGTTAGTAATAAAGATAAAGTCGAATAACAATGTGAAAGCAAAATAATTTCCCAAAAATTGGTAATAGATTGTTATAACCAAAACTAAAAAGGAACCGTCTACAAATACGTCAAGTACTACAGAGATCAACAACGGAAATGCAAAAACAATAAGCTAGAAAGGTATGAATAGGTAGCAGCAGTAACGGTTTCTGTTGAATATTTAATCAAAGTCATTGATGAAAGTAGTTGTTGAGACCACAATGTCCAGCATTCACACATTTTCTCCAGCTATCATGTCTATCTCCATATCAATCACTTTGTTGCTGCCCCCTTCAGCACATCCATTTGTGTATTGTCTAATGCGGTAAAATAACCCCCACAGAAAGTACTCGTTGTTCCATGTTGCAAGAACATCACAAGGTGAACGACAACTCTACAATTATGAGATAATTTATCTTCTACAGAGCATAATCATATATATATATATTACCTAAAGTTTCAATAAATAAGAAAACAGTGTAGAGATTAACTATAGTCGTACTTTGAGAATCATTGTGCAGCGTTGTGGATGCAAGTACAAGCAGCTCAACATCATTTATAACCGTTCTCATCACAAAATCCCTGCTACGCATGTACTCCACCAGAGAAGTATATATCCCAGACCTACATATAAATAGGAAATTCAAATCACATTCAAGTAAAAACATTCTTGGGCAAGGGTGCATTTCTACTTTGCAACCCGTACCCCTTTACAGATAGATATATAAAGCAAAAACTAACCTTTCTCTCTCACTTGTAAAGAAATATAGTCCTACGTCTTCTTTACCTGGACAGTGATTATTGAATAGCTTTGTCCAGATCTTTCCACGCGGAACTAGTTCAAATTTAAGAGTATGAGGCAATTGCCCTGAAAACTCATACACCTTACGTTTAACTTTAGAAGGAGGATGAGCCTGGATAAAATTATTGAGGTCGCTTTGTACAAATTCTGAAGCACCTGAGATTTCAAAACTTCCCCTGAAATACAAAGAGGAAGAGAGATTATTAATTATAAAAAAGAGAACATGTATTCTGGTTGAATGCTCCCACTTCGTCAAATAAAAGAACATGATATATATATATATATTGGGTGTCTTAATAATAAACAAAGTTGTTACATATATATCTTAACCACATGGCCATCTCCTCCGAACCAACATTATGTTGTTAACTAAAAAGTATTACATATATATCCATACTTATCAATAGGGAACGTATAAAACAAAGAATTTAATCAGTCACCTGGCTGTTAGCAAAGATGGACCATCCAAAAACAAAGATGAATTGAATTACAGTTAGTAATAAATGTGCATGATGAAGGGTACTTACTTCCAGGAATGAGCTAGAGCAGGATCACAAGGGTGTGTCATAGGTGGATTCATCATTCCACTCGCTTTCACAACATTGAAACTCCTATGCTCTAGAATGGTAACTCCCCCAGGACCTAACAAGCAGGCTACATCAATTAGATGGAAATACAATAGTATATGATAGAAAATGAAATTTCTAATGAATAGAGACCTAAGAAAAGAATATATTTGAACAAGTAATGAATACAAGAAATGTTGGTGAAAATTAACCTTTAGATGATTCGACTTGTTTTATGCTCGGTTCGATTATTTTGAAATTTAGAAAACTGTGAGGTTTCTTATATCCTGTTAACCCTAAAGAATACTGCAGTGTTCTCTTCTTAGGAAAAACATCTGAAATCTGAGTTCTAGGTTTGCTTAAATTCCCTCGAGTCTCAGTCGTCTTGGATTTCGTTGACATAACTCTTGAAGAGCCAGAATTCAATAGATCAATTGCTTCTTCAACAGGTAGATACTTTGTCTTCCTGATTTGTTCCTCTGTTTTCCAATTGATCTCACGCTCACTAAGAAACTTACTACGTTTCTCTGGTGGAAGAGTGCTTTGACAAATACTTGTAGAGACATGTATCTCTGATCCCTCAGAGATTTCATTTTTTTGTTTTTTGACACATTTTTCACAACACCAATTATCTGGTGCATCTTTATAACAGTCCACCTGGCAATACCTGAAAGAGAGAAAAGATAGAATTTTTTAAAACAGGGAAGAGGGTTACGTGTGCATAAAAAGCACAGACAATATTTAATAAAATTAAATGTCACAACATGCTAATGAAAGCATGTTGAAAAAACTGATAATCTAATTAGCAATTTCCCTCGAATTGGAGCAGCCCTTCAGTGATGAAGTAAGTACCGATAAGAGAGTTGTGGCTTTCAGCTCACTTGACTACCCTTTCACGCTTAAAATAAAGAGAGAACTTACTCATGCACGTCAACATCTTTACCGTCATGGCCGGTAACTGTTGCAATTTGAAAACCTACATCACCGCAAAGTTTACAAATTTTTTTCTGCAAGTTAACACAAAAAACACAAGAAATTTAGATTTTGGCCGACTCTTAATCCAACTTAAGTGAAGCTCATATTGGCCTCTAGTTCTGGCGATGAACAAGTATTTAGATGCTATTAAAGGACTCTATTCAACTTCTTTTGTTGCACAGAATTGAGATTACCACCATACGAACAGAATGAAGAATAAGGGGGCAAACTGTGATCAGGTATACAAGTTTGTTCATCTGTATACATATTCTATTTATGTCTGTTGTTTTGTACTTTAATTTAATACCATTAACCATTATTTATGTTGCTATTAGCATCCTTTCCTACATCTTCTTTTGGACTCGAAATTAAATTTTTCAGAATAACATAAACAACCTGTTATAGAGCATAAACCTTGATCGCATGAACAGTCTATAGGTAAAGCAAATACTTCCTCTATTTTAATTTATTTGATTTATTACTCCTCCCTCTGTCCCAATTTGTGTGGAACATTTCGCTTCGCGGGAGTCTAACAGTCTAACTTTGATCATAATTTTTGATATATCCCTTAAATATTTTAAATTGACCACCATTGTGACTTAAACTACTATTTACGTAGTTTCTGAATATAAATTGACAGTCATTGTGAAATCTTTAATTTTTTTAAAAGAAATAAATATATATTCATAAACTACGTAAAAAGTAGTATAAGTCACAATGATTGCCAATTTTAAATATTTTAAAGATATATGAAAAAATTTATGGTCAAAGACAGACTTATTTAAATCTCAAAATCCGAAAGGAGCCACATAATTGAGATGGATGGAGTATTATTTTTAACTTTTTATAAAAAATAATAAATAAATATTTATTTATTTATAGTCCCAACTCTTTAATTTCAATGTGTATTTTTGTAGTGTCGGCATTACTATCATTTTTTACTTTATTAGGCTCTCTTTAACATGTCAAAATTAGAAGAAAAGAAAACAACTGAAAATTGGACGAGTAAATACAAAGAAAAGTATAATATACTCTTTCGTTCAATTTATATGGTACATTTTAAATTTTGAATTTCAAATGTTTCTTCGTGACCTTTTTTTCTTGTCTTTTAAATATTATGAATTATAATTTATTAGTGCTTAAAAATTATTTTTGTATAATTTCACATATGTAATTTCATTTATAAAACAATAAAAATTTCATGTCAAAATTCAATCAATTTTTTGTAAAAATAAATTCTTAAAAATTTAACTGCGGCACACGTAGTAAGAACTTACTAAACAAAAAAATTAGGGTTTACCTTATGGGGGCCTTGTCCCTTTTGCCTCTGATCGTGAGTGGCCATTTGCGCTTCACAGCAGCACACCAACAATGAAAAAAAATCAGAATCGATCCTACACGTCACATAATTTTTTAGTAATAAATTTAATTTCAGACCAAAAAAAGAAAATCATAGAAGGCAATTTTGCACATTTTCCGGCCGTTCCTGCAGAAAGTACACTTTATCACTAGGAGGAGATCCTTTCTCGTACTCATTAATACTCTCTCTCTCACACACACGTACGCGCGCACACACAATATATATATATATATAGAGAGAATTTAGTTAAAATAAAGATTAAGAGCACATAAATGAAGAAAAAGATAGATGTCATACCTTAAAAGTTGAAGCTCTAATCTCAACACGTCTAAATCAAGTGTATTATAAGGAATAGTCTCTTGAGGTGTATATATAGGTGAAAGTGTGTGTATTGTGTATAGAGAAAAGGATAAAAAAGGAAAACAACAAAGTGTATAGTCAGTGCAGATAATATAAAAGTAAATAATTAATTACATTATGTCGTTTAGCGATATATATGTCAAACGATTAAGTCAAACTAAAGAAAAAATGACTTGTGATTTGACTAGGTTTATTTAATGTTGAGAAAAATCCCTGGCCACTCTTGATTATTTTTTGTATATTAAAAAAATTAAATCAAACAATAAAGATTAAGAGCACATAAATGAAGAAAAATATAGATATCATACCTTAAAGGTTGAAGTTATAATCTCAACACGCCCAAATCTAGTGTATTATAATGAATAGTCTTTTGTGTTTTATGTGTGTATGTTTATATATATATATATATATATATATATATATATATATATATATATATATATTGTTCGTGTATTGTGTATAGAGAAAAAGATAAAAAAAAGAAAATAATAAATATAGAGCTAGTGCAGATAATACAAAAAGTAAATAATTAATTGCACTATGTCGTTTAGCGATAGACATGTCAAACAGTCAAGTCAAACTAAAGAAAAAAATTTGATTTGTGATTTAATTTGTTTACGTTAATTTAAGGTTGAGAAAAATCCTTGGCCACTCTTGATTATTTTTTGTATTAAAAAAATAAAATAAATCAAACTAAACTCAAATCAAAACGACATAATACATATATAATACTCTACATATCTCTCTCACACACACGTGCACGCGCGCACGCACGCACGCACACACACACTATATATATATACTACTTTAAAAGCATAACCTCCCAAAAATGAATGTTGAATTACTAGAATACCCTCAATTAAAAATACTCTATTTATTTAATTTATTTAATTTAATATATTATATTAAAAGTAGATACCTTTTTTACACTAAAAGATTGTGACTTTTCCGATGAGTTGTTACTTTTTTAAAGGATTGTGAATTTTTCAAAGGATTGACTGTACAAAATAGTTGTGTCTTATCTGATGGGTTGTGACTATTTCAAAGGGTTATGACTTTTTCGATGAGCAGTGACATTTTTGAAGGGTTGTGACTTTTCTTATAAGGCACAATAAGTACCTATTCATAGTACTATTTGTTAGCTATAAATAGAGGGGTTTTCTCTCACTTTTAAACTACGATTTTTGTAAGGCTTTCTACTCTTCTTCTTCTTAAAATAATTAAGTGTTATTTGCAACAGTTTATTAAGTTCAAAATTCTATGAAATTGGAAGTACCACATAAGAAAGAGTTGGTGAACAAATTGTAACAAATCATTCATCAATTTACAATTATATTTTCCTCTTACAATTTTCATCATACAAATACTTCAATATGATTTATATCATTTTAGAAAATTGATAGCCTTTTAATTAACCTACATATTTTATTTTTTAAAAATGCTAATTTTCTACAAATAGTCACAACAATTTCTACCTTCATGTTTCTTCGGTCATAAATCACAACAATTCACTCCTTATAAATTTTTGGTGATCTCTTTTCTGTAACAATTTGAGATCATTTAAAATTTTCATACATAATTCATCCCAATCCATTGATATGTTTCGCCAAAGCTCTTAGAATTGGAATTTAGGTATTGTATTTCTATTAAATAAGAAAAGAAGAGAACAAAGAAATGTGCAATTAGCTATAAATTTTGCTTCACACAGAAAACTTCTATATATAGTGCGCAAGAATTTTCATTTGTTTTGTTTCTTTAATTAATTTCTTTTGTATTTTAATTCGAGATAGAAGTTAATAATTAATGTTAACATAATGAGTGGACAATGACGAATACAAACATTGTAGATTATTTTTTTAATTAAATAAATAGATCAAATTGTGAGAGAGACAATAACAATAAACAAATACGAAAAAGGCACATGACTGGAGTAAAATATTTCTTCTTTGTTTTTCCTTTTTTTTTATTCTTTTAACCTCAGACGAAGGAGTTTCTTCCTCATTTTGGAACACTAAGGTTAATATAGCATGAACATATATTTTTGTCTTCCTTCTTCAATGGCTATCAATTTTTCAATATATTTTTTGGAGAAAGTAAAGTGTTGGTGGCAAGAGATTTCAATCAAATTGAACACTAGAGTAAATATATCATGAACATATATTTTCGTCTTCCTTCTTCATTGGCTATGAATTGTTCCATATATTTATTCTTTTTTATATTTATATTGTGTTGACTTTTTTTAAGTATGAATTTCATGTTATTTGTGTTCATTTTGATCTAAGAATATGATATGTCACAAGATACACTCCTTGCAACCTACATAAAAATAGATAAGAAAATAGTGGTTGATCACAAAAATGATCTTAAATCAAATTAAAGATTCTATAAATAAATAGTTTAATTTTTATTCATCAGTTAATATTTTTAAAGATTCTATAAATAAATAGTTTAAATTTTATTCATCAGTTAATATTTTTATTGCAAAAGTTTAATGTTTTATATCATGATAGAACTTCTATAAGATACTAGATACTCTCATTAGACAACAACTATATGAAATGTATGTTGCATAAAAAAAAAGATAGGACTACAATTCCACGAATATATGGTAGAAACTTAAAGAGATAAAAATATTTTTCACTATAGGTGATGTAGTTCATATATTAATATGAAATATTTGACATACACTCAATTCTCTATTTAACCCTGTCACAACCAAATTTTTTTAGAACTAATATTTTATGTTATATTTTTTTTCTCAATAATATTCTACTTATAACAGTGTTGAAATTTTCTATAAAAGTACACTTTTGGTTAAATTACTTCTCTATGATAGTCTTACTCAAATATTAAATGAGTAATAATATTTTAAAAAGATATATTACCTATAAAGATAAAATATTGCACTATTTATGGTAATAGTTATTAGTTTCATGCACAATAAAGTATTAATATTTAAGAGAAAAATTATACTTAAATGGTGTCCATCATTTATAGTCATAACCTTTAGAGGAAAAGCTATTGGTGACCTTTTTTATATTGATATTATTTTCTGTTTTGTTGGTCAAGTTTGTTTACAAAATTGAGTAAAGTAAAAAAAAACAGTACTAAAGAAATGTCAGTTTCTCAGCATATTTAAATTTTAACTGTATTTTGAAATGTTTCAATGGAATCGGGTCATTTTGGTCTAAAAAATAATTAATTTTATAACAATTTGTATTAATCATTCAAAAGCATTTGACCATTGGTCTTTCAATTTATAGTTATTTGCTAAAAAGCTTTAATTTAGTCATATTAATTCTATTTTAAAACATCATATACTATATAATATGATACACACGTGCCGTAAAACTAGTATATATATATATATATATATATATATATATATGCGAGCACATTGTGTACAAAGAAAAGGATTAAAAAATTAAAATAATAAATGTAGAGCTAGTGCAGATTATACAAAAAGTAAATAATTAATTGCATTGTGTCGTTTAGCGATATACATGTCAATTAGTCAAGTCAAACTGACTTGTGATTTAATTAGGTTGATTTAATGTTGATAAAAATCTTCGCCCACTCTTGATTATTTTTTGTTTTAACAAAAAATTAAATCAAATTAAACTCAAATCAAACCGATATAATACATATATAATATTATCTCTCTCACACACACAAACACACAGAGTGTGTATTGTGTATAGAGAAAAGGATAAAAAGAGAAAAAAATAAATGTAGAACCAATAATTATAAAGTATAAGCACATTATACAAAAGTTAAATTATTAATTGTAATATATCATCTAGCGTATACAGGTTAAACAGTCAAGGCAAACTGAAGAAAAACACTTTGTTATTTGACTAGGTTGATTAGTGTTGAGAAAAATCCTCAGCCACTCTTGATTATTTTTTGTATTAACAATAGTTTGACTTTTCACCTACATAGCAATAGAATTTTTACAAAACAAAACAAACCAAAAAAAAAGAAGATAAATTTTAAAAAAAAACAATACACGTTCCAATCCAAAAATAAGATTTCATTCCTTAATTTTCTTCCATTTCGTTATTTACCCTCCACAAATCTCCCAACAATTAATTAATGTTTTTCTCTCATAACCTCAAACAAGTACTGTAACTAAAATAGAACTCTTTATCTTCTTTGATAATTGTTTCAATGATTTAAAATAACAATATATCATTTTTAATTTAGCATGATAAAAGATGGGGTGTAACAAGTATGTACCAATTATTTTTTTTCGAGTTTGATTGCTAAAATATATAGTTTGATTTTAATTGTTTTAAGATGTTTTGTTGTTTTTGTTGCTTGGATTTATATGTAAATCGATGTATTAACCATGAATTTTTTTGCTTGAATGAATGCTTCGTATGTTGTTTGGCAGTAGTTTTGTTTGTAAATTGTTAAAACGGATTATTCAATAAGGTTGTATATTATGGTGTTTATTCATTGTAATATTTGACATTTAACCAAAATCAAATTTAGCTGATATTGATCTAGACACAAATGTTAAAATAATAATGCACAAGTTTTAATTAAATTAATTATACAAAACAGTTGAGAAATTCTTGATTATATGTTGATTTGATGTCTGGATTTTGTATTATAATACACTGTACACCAAAACTTAATCATGAATGTACATCACTATCTAATTAAATTGATAGTACAACATATTTGATTCTTTTAAAATTAGGTTATGGTATATATCTTGGTGTACGTAAGATATATTGATCATGTGTATGTGCCGTACTCTATGCGGTAGTTACCTCTGATGCTATGAGGTTAGGAAAGGCTTGGTAGCTTGCTGAAGTAATGGAGCTCACTGTCCATCACTCAGTTTTTTTCTTTTCCTTTATTCCAATGTTCATATAGATGTGGCACAAGGTGATGAAGCAAGAATGGATCAGAGAGTCATGGCTTTCAGCTCGCTTGACTGATTGTCCACCCTTTCATGCTAAAAAGACAGAGAGAACTTATTGATGCACGTCAACCATCTTTGCAGCAATGGCAGGTAATAATTGCTGTTTAGAAACCTATATCACCGCAAATTTCACAAAATCTTTTTCTGCAAGTTCATATAGAAAACAAAAGAAATCCAGAAGCTAACCGACTTCTTGAATAGAATGAGGGGACAACAGAAGCATATTCACCCGTACATTCCAATTATTATCCAAACAAATTATTTAACTAGAATACCAGTTTTCTTCCTGCCATTATAAATAAATGACGAGCAATTTGATTTGCTTTTGTTTTGTTTAATCAAAAGATAAGATAGTTCATCTGCATACTTATTCTATATAAATTTGTTGCTTTGTTTTATAATCTTATACCATTAGACACAATTTGCGCAATTATTAACACCCTCCCCTACATCTTCTTTTGGACTCGAAATGAGATTTTTCGAGACAACAAAGACAACCTACTATAGAGCATAAACGGTTGATAGTGCAGTATGCATTGGTGTTAAATAAAAACCTATCACAGTGCAATATGCATTGATGTTAAATTATTAGTAGAGTGTTAGTATAAAGCCAACTAATTAGTAGATATTTAAAACTACTCTAATAGGTCCATATTTGCCTTTTCTTAAAGTGTTAAACACTTTTTTTTAATAATTATGATGTCCGGATGAGCTTGATAACTCTGTCCAAGGTCCATCCTTGAGAAAGATTAAATCAAATAATAATATAAAATTAAAAAAGACACATGCTTAACCCACTCTAATCATCTCAAAAAGAACGTCGGCATTTTGTCATAGAGAAAAGAGACAAATGAAGAGGCATTGATCGCATGAACACTGCTGCGGTTAAAACAAATACTTCTATCCATTTTAATTTATTTGATTTGTTATTATTTTTAGCTCCTTAAAAATGATATTTATTTATTTATTTGACTATTTTTTAATTTTAATAAGTATTTTGATACTTTCAATATTACCGACTTTTTTTTCTTCTTTTTTTTACTTTCTTAGACTCTCTATCACATGTCAAAATCAGATAAACAACAATTGAAAACGGGAGGAGTAAATACGAAAAAAATTGTATATTATACTCTTCCATCCCAATTTATATGACATTTTTTAATTTTTAGACTCAAATACATTCCTTCGACACTTTCTTTTATGTTTTTGAATTATAATTTACTATGACTTACAATACTTTTATATAACTTCAAATAGGTAATTTTAACAACATACCCAGTAGAGTATACACAGATCTTACCACTACCTCAAAAGATAGAGAGATTGTTTTCGAAAGACCCTTGGCTCGAGTGCAGTAAATCCAAGTACAAATCAGAAGAAATAATGTAGGAAACATAGCAATTAGGATGGTCAATGGTGTAGTAATTAAAACACAGTAAACAACTGACGATACGAGATATAAATATGTAAATTTCATTTATAAAAACATAAAATTTCTTGTCAAAATCAATCAAAACCTTTCTAAAAAAAGAACTTTTGAAATTTTAACTATGCCACATCGTTGGAACTTACTAAACAAAAAGTTAGGATTTACTTTGTTTTGCCTCGAAGAGTGAGTGGTCATTTGCCCTCCACGGTGGCACATTGTTAACTTGTGCTCAATACTCAACACACACAATCACCATTGATGTATATCTATGAGCTACATAGAAAATAATAAGAAGAAGAGAAACTGTTTTATTGCATTGATTAACTTGTTCACTTCAATGGCATGTGATCACTATTTATAGAGTCACTTAGTAGTGACTAGTGGTGTACTACTGTCAATAGTCCATAACTAACTAACATACTGTAACTAACTAATTGATCTTTCTAACTTTCTTATACTATTTTAATACACACTAACAAAAGAAAAAAATCCGAACAGGTCCTACACATCACACAATTATTAAGTGATAAATTTTAATCACAGACCAAAAAAGATAAAAATCACAACCTTAACTTGGAGACATTTAATCAAAGAAAATTTTGCACATTTTGCGTTTCTGCAGAGAGGACCGTGAACTAATGATGAGTTCGGTATTGGACAACAAATTAAAAAAGATTACTAGGAAGGGAGTCTTTCTCGTTCAGCTCCTCCATTTTTTCATAATTGTACGTTTGTTACCGTGCTGTTTGCATAATTTCACTTGTACATTAACTTATTACTTATAAACTTATGGCAATAACGCAGTAGGTCCCAAAAAATGACTCATATTTTGTCATTTAGATCTAAATGTGAAGAAGTTCTGTATTTTGCATGTTAGTATAAAATTGCTTTATATATTGATAAGAAGTCAACATCAAAAAATTTGTCACGAGGAAAAAGTTAAAGGGAGTTTATTGGAAGGTGAATATGCATGATTATTTTCAAAACGAAGAAGGGCCTAAAATGCCTTTTATTTTTAAATTAATACAAAATTATTTTTCATCCACCTTTCAGCCTCCAAATATCCCAGATGTCAATTTTTTGGCTCAAAAATATACTTGATATTGTTACTTCGGCTCAAGCTTACTCTTACGCATCACGAAATTTTTGAGTAAAAAATTAATGAAACTCAGTTGATGTTGGTTTGAGTCTAATATGGTCTCATTCTCGCTACCTTTTCTTAGTGATTATGTTATGAGTTTTCTAGTTTCGTTGTCTTATTTAATTAATATTTGTTAGTGAAAATAAAACCAACAATATTTGTTAGAAAAAAAAAAAAAGTTGCACGAGTATTTAGTATTTAAAAAAAAAAAAAAAACACGTGATTTCTTTTGCTTTTTATTGTTTTTGTATTTAGACACATGTATCTAAATTTTAGCTAATTTTACTCTGTGTTTCATAAACGGCTGAGCATAGTCATAAATGAAAAATCAAAAGAGTTATAAATAAGTTTGTTAAATTTATTGTTACTTGACAAATGAATGATATTTGTTTTTTGTGATATGTGAAATCTGTATTTCTAATTTAAACCTCAATTTGATACAAAAACGACTATTGAGTTGAATTGATATGATGATATGTGAGAATTTTTTAATCCATCTGTAACATTATTAATATAACCAATTACACGTGTATAAATTTAAAAAAAATATTTTTCGTAGAATATATTTTTGATTAATACCAAACACACACAAACTTTTTCCTCATAATGAATTTTTTGACGTAGACTTCTCATATAACCAAATAGTAAAGCATTTACTTTATACTAACTTAGAGTACATAACTTCACACTTAAAGCTAAATGCCAAAATATGAGTCTTTTTTTCTTTTCTTTTTTTATTTGGGAACTACGTTATTACCCAAAATTTATTACTACTCCCTTCATTCAACAATAGTTATTTACTATATTATTTGAGATGTCCAACAATATTTATTCACTCTATGAAATTAATGAATAATTAGACACTTAGTTTTTAATTTATCCTTATCATTAATTATAGTTATTTCTCTATTACAATTTTCAAGATATGTATTTATTATATTCAAAAAATGATATAGTAAAAGGAAAAAAAAAATAGCCAGAAAATTTGGTCAGAATGGTAAAATAACATATTTCATACTATTTCATTTTACTTTTTTGAACATTTTTACCCTTTTAACTTTAATACCTTTTAATTAAAAAATGGAAAAAAGATCAATTTATTTTAAAATAAAAAGGATATTATAGACTTTTAAATTTTCTGACCAAATTTTTTGGACCTTTAGCATTACCATAGTAAAATTATCCTTTTATTTATAATTTCTTAAAAATGTGCAAAGTTAATCGTGAATAAATATTGTTGAACAGAAAGAGTCGAATACATGACTCGTCACACTTAAAGCTAAATGCCAAAATATGAGTGCTTTTTTATTTTTTTTATTTGGGACCTACTACGTTATTACCCCAAATTTATTAGCAGTATCAAAACATACAAGTAAAATTATCTAAACAACAGGGTAGCAAATGAAGAATTATGAAAAAATGGAGGACGTTAATGAGAAAGAATCTCTTTCTATTCCACAGTATTCTCTGCAGAAAGGCATTTACATTTTTGTTGTCTAAACTTAAATTTTTTAGCCCGAAAATTGTGTGCTTGTAGGACCATTTTTGAACTTTTTGTTCTTTGTTTGTCCGTCGTGGAGCTCAAATGGCCACTCTTTCTCCTAGGCAAAAGGAACAACACAGCATTCATCAGGCCCACATGGTAAAACTCTACTTATTTTATATTATTATACTTGTTTGTTTTTCCTCATAGCTAAAGTTTATGCGACTCTGTACTTGTTTCTTTTTTCTTTTCTTTTTTCATGGCAAAGATTGACAATCTTTTTTGGGATGATGATGATCCTTGGGATTAAGCGTTTGGTTTTTTTAATCTTTTATGGGAAATGTTGTAAATGTGGAGTATTTAATTTAACTAGTAATTTTTCTGAAAGATGTGTTTCATTTAATTCTATTTTATTCTAGTATTTTATTTGTTAAATGGAAAATAAAAGGGGCAGATAAGATTTGAAGGGTCTTTTATTTTACTGGGTTCATTGATTGGTATGAATTGAACCAGTTGCTAAACTTATCTTTGGTTTTGTTTTGTGTAGCATGTTGTAAAGGTACTGCAGCATTACAGAGGAAAAACTATATTTTTTATTATGTGTGTAGATAATCTAAATAAATACTTGTTCGAGAAATGGAACGGAAGCTTTGACTTAATCGGTAAAGTAGCTGTCATGTGACTAGGAGGTTATGGGTTTCGAGAGGGGTGGAAATGGGTTTTTGCCGGAATGTAGGGTAAATGATGTATACAGTAGAAATGGGTTTTGCAGGAATGTACTGTCATGGGTTCGAGTGGTGGAAACGGGTCTTTGCAGGATTGCAGGAATGTAGGATAAATGTTGTATACAGTAGAATCTTGTCGTAATGTAGTTGTCACGTGACTAGGAGGTCATGGGTTCGAGCGGTGGAAACAGGTGATTGCAGGAATGTATTGTAAATGTTGTATATAGTAGAAATGGGTTTTTGCAGGAATGTAGGGTAAATAGTGTATACAGTAGAAATGGGTTTTTGCAGGAATGTTGGGTAAATGCTGTATACAGTAGAAATGGGTTTTTGCCGGAATGTACTGGTCATGGGTTCGAGTGGTGAAATGGGTGTTCGCAGGATTGCAGGAATGTAGGGTAAATGTTGTATACAGTAGAATCTTGTGGTAAAGTAGCTGTCACATGACTAGGAGGTCATGGGTTCTAGTCGTGAAAACGGGTTTTTGTAGGAATGTAGGATAAATGATGTGTACAGTAGAAATGAGTTTTTGCAGGAATGTAGGGTAAATGTTGTATACAGTAGAAATGGGTTTTTGCTGGAATGTACTGATCATGGGTTCGAGAAAGTTGAAATGGGTGATTGCAGGAACGTAGTGTAAATGCTAAATGCTGTATACAGTAGAAATGGTTTTTTGCAGGAATGTACTCGTCATGGGTTCGAGTGGTGGAAACGGGTTTTTGCAGGAATCTATGGTAAATGCTGTATACAGTAGAAATGGGTTATTGCAGGAATATAGGGCAAATGCAGTATACAGTAGAAACTTGTGGTCAGGCCTTTCTCCGGACTCCACAAATATTGAAATTTGGTGCACCAGGTTGTCCATTGACGAAGGAATTTCAGTCCTTGGGAAAATCCTTTGTATGCTAACTTATTTTGTATGTCTTTCCACAAGCTTCAATGTTCGTCCAACAATAATAAATGATGTCATCACATTCTCCTCCTTAAATACTTCATTAATATTTGACTTCCTGAAATCATGCCCCACACTACACTTACAATTTCATCCTTGAGTCTCATTCCTTACTAACAAACACTTCATAATCTTGCCCAATGGGTGGTGTCATCACTCGCACCTTTCAATTCTTGCTCATCACTTACTCATTCGACACTTGTGGAATTCAATAGGAATTGGAACTTATTGCTTTAAGCTCAATTGCATGATCAAGAGTAGAATAAAAGGGTAACTTCTTAAATATCTGTTTAGTCTATCCATTATATATGTGGTTGTCAACAAACCCTAGTTCTCTGATGCAACTTATGAACATTATAGGTACGTAGAAGTGAAAGGTAAAGCATCTCATAAAACATTGAGTAATTCATTAAGTGGAAAGTTAAAACAAAAAAAATCGACAATATCATAAATAAAAAAAAAACATGCAAGGCTATGTTAGGAATTTTACAAAATAAACATGACATGAGTATGGTGTCCATGGAATTTCTAAGTCACACATGAGACAGAGGCCCTGACTGTACCCAAAATTATACAAAATGTGACTTCATAAGCAAAAGTGCCTCAATGATAAATAGGGCTCACCACACGCCAATGGAATGAGTGGAGTGCCTAGCGAGGATGAGTGCATCACAAGAAGATGCAGTACCTTGACAAAAGAGAAGTGAGTACATGTGAAATAGTACTCACATAATGAGGTGAACCCAAATTTAAGAGAATATAAGTTGTACTAGCACCAACTTATTGCTATACTATTTCTCTATCAATATTCACATGTCTTGGCTTAACAAAACCAGTTACCTAATACAATCTATGTCATATTGCCCCTTTAACCAACAGATGTAAAGAGATGACATGTTGCACATACTGTGAATAGGCAGTATTAACTTCTTAAGTTCTCAATTCTCCAGTAAGTTTCTCTAGTATGTTTTCCTTTAATAAGAAGCTTGAATTCAGTACAAGTGCTATAATAGTATCTTCTATATCATTAAGGGACTAGATTAAGAGAAAACCTTGGCAATTTACTCAAAATGTTGTTCTTCCCTTCATCAACAGTGTGGTACTAAAGTTCCGGATTTGATCGTCAAACAATGTATCCTCTATAGTGATCTGTGATGTATATTACTGTCCTACAACTATTAGCAGCTTCAATTTTGTCTTCATTAGCAATAGTAATCAATACACTGCTGTTTGTTAGGTGCTTTTTCCTAATTATGTTGTTTTCAGTTCAGTGGCCCAAGTCCTAATTTATTTTACTCTATACTTGCTCATATTAGGATATGTTGTTGTTTCTCTACTACGGATGTTTTCTTTACTCCAAAGTCAACTTACAGATTTGTTAAGTTTCAGGTTGAAAATAGTTTAACATCAATACATACTGCACTATGGTTAGGTTTTTCTTTTTCTTTTTGCTGCCAAGATAAAGATTATATGATATGTTGCTTTAGATGGACAAATAGACTGGAGAGATTTTTTTGTGCATCAAGGTTTATGCTCTAACTACAACAGGTTGTCTTTGTTGTTCTGAAAACCCCCCTTTCATGTCCAAAAGAAGATGTAGGAGAGGCAGTGTAAATTGTGTCCAATGTTGAAGATCAAAGTACAAACCAACAAACCTGCATAGAATAAGTATAGATATAAACCGTCTTCTGATTAACCAAAAGAGAAGCAGATTGAATTTCTTGTCATTTATTTACAATGGCAGGAAGAAAACTGGTATTGTACCACCAGCTTTTACTGTTCTTTACCTCCTTAAAGTGTTTCTAAGGAGGTGTACGGGAGGTGTTTCTCTCTGGATGAGATATAACCAAAAAGTATTCTAGGAAAATAATTTGTTTGGATAATACTTTTTTTCAGTTAACAGTATCACTTTCATTAATGACCAAAAAAAATATTTACAATAAAAACAGAGCAGCCTAGGACTACTGCTACCTAAGTATCTATTACTAATGCTGAATACAACAAAATCAAGTTCTAGTTACTTCAATACATCAAGGATATACATTCAAAGTTAGGAGTAAAGATTGCCATCGAACTATGCTTTTCCCACGTTTATGAGTGTGCTGGACCACCTCCTTTAAAATTCTAAATCAGTATTCAATCTTCCATGTTGAAATCTGCAATTGTTCCTTTCTCGCCAAATGAGTGTGATAATCATTGCAAAAGTTACTGTAGTGCCTTGAACTATTGCAGACTTTTTCCTTGCAATTGTACTCACCCAATGCACCTTAGAATTCCAATCTAGAATAGGCCTTTGGAACCCCAACCAAGTACACAACCTGGTCCGTAGAAGATTAGTCTTACCACTTTCAAAAAACAAGTGATCAAACGTTTCCAAGACCTGTCCACAGAAGATACAATCAGGTGGGTACTTGTATTCCAAACTTGAGTAGTCTCTCCACTGTGGACAGTCTCTTTCGTACAGCTAACCATAGGATGAATTTGAATCTAGGATGACCTTTAGCCTGCAATGTAAGACTCTTCCAAGCAACTCTAGGCATCTGAGGCAGAAGATAGGTGTACACTTTATGAACTGAAAACTTGGTCCCATGTAACACCTGTGAAAACACAGTCTGCATTGTTCCTGCCACTGGTTGCCCTTGCATCAGCCACTCCCTGGCCTCCAATATTTTCCGCACAACCCAAGTTCTTGAGTATTTGCACTGGATATGCATCTGCTGCAAAGGGGGGGATTTATATTACATATATAAGCATGTGAGCTAAATGAAGATCAGAACATGATTTTGTTGATTATGATTTACCTTTGTGTAACTGATGACATTTTCCTCTCATTGTTCATTCTGTTCATATGGTAATCTTGATTATGTGTGACAAAAGAAGCTGAATAGAGCACTTCTATAGCATCCAAATCCTTGTTCATTGCCAAAACCAGAAAAATATAAGCTTCACATAATTGGATCAAGAGTTGGTTATGAGCTTCACTTAAGTTGGATCAAGCGTTGGTCAGCTTCTGACTTTCTGTCTTTTCTTATGAATTTGCAGAAAAATATTTGTGTAATCTGCGGTGATATAGGTTTTCAAGAAGCAATTATTACCTGCTATCAGTGTAAAAGTGTTGACGTGCACCAGTAAGTTCTCTCTCTCTCTCTATCTATCTAGTTTTAGCATGAAAGGGCAGTCAGGCGAGCTGAAGGCTATGACTCTCTGATGCGTACTTGCTTCATCACCGTGTGCCATATCTATATGTTCTTTGTAAACCTCAAACATTGTCCCAATCCCAAACCCCTTCTTTTTTGGTTGACTTGCCACCAAGGGAGAAGTTCATCTTTTCACTTAAGGGGCTGCTCCTCTTGAAGGAAATCACTAGCTGGATTATCAGCTTTGCTTCCCTTTTTTGGAATCTTAAATAGGGATGAAAAGTGAATAGAACTAAATGCCTAAATGGAAGTGAGATTTACCTCTTAGGGAGAATAAAGACCTCTTTAAGTTGTCTGATCTTTCTGGCATTCTTCACTGCCGGATCCTAATGGTATTGGATATTGGGTTCCACCTAAATGATACATCGATTCTTTCATTAGCATGTTGTGGGCATTTAATTCTCTTAAATACTGCATGTATCTTTTATGTATACATAGTCCTATTCCGGTTTTAAAAAATCTGTTTTTCTCTTCCTTTCAGATATTGCTTGGTGGGCTACAGTGAAGAAGCACCAATGGCTTGGTGTTGTGAAGAATGTCATATTGGCAAAGGGGTAATATCTTCATCACGCGGACTAGAAAATGATAATTCTGAGGGATCCAGGTTGCATGCCTTCGCAAAGATTTGTCGGAGTACTGTGCAACCAAAGAAACATAGTACATTTCCTGGTAGGCATTATATTAACTGGGAAAAGGAGGTACAGACTGGGAAAACGAGATATCTACCTGTTGAAGAAGCACTTGGTCTGTCATCAGGCATCAAGAAATATGGATCTCCGCTGATAAATACTAGCTCCACAAGAGTTGTGTCAACCAAATCCATGGCACCTGTGACTCGAGGGAATTTCAGCAAACCGAGAGCTCAAATTTCAAATTCTTTTCCTGAGAAGAGCACAGTGCAGTGGTCTTTAGGATCAGGATATACAAAACCTCAGAATCCTCAAAATGCCAAAATCACCGAACAGAGCAAAAAACAAGTGCAATCATCTAAAGGTTAAGTGTTACCAACATCTCTTGTATTCATTACTTGGTTTGATTTGTCCTCTTCTTATACCTTAACTCTTCAGAAATTTCATTTTCTATCATATACTCTAGTTAATTTTTTAAAACAATGATGTTGATATATTTGGAGTTGATATTATCTTTCAAAATGATTTCTGTTACACCATCAATATCTGTAAGCCCATAGCAAACTTTATTTACTTCTGTACTTCCATCCAATTGATGTAGCCTATTTTTTAGGTCTTGGTGATTCTGCCATTTTGGAGCATAGGAGTCCCTATGCTGTGAATGAGAGTCGAATGATAAATCCATCTACAACACACCCTTGTGATCCTGCTCTAGTTCCTTCCTGGAAGTAAGTACCCTTTATTATGCACATTAATTACTAACATAGGTTAACACAAGGTAAACTGAGCTCTAAAAAGGTTCAAATTCAGCTCATCTCTGTTTTTTCTTTCTCTTCTTCTTTGCATTTTAGGGGAAATTTTGACATCTTAGGTGCTCTAGAACTTGCACCTGGGATATTCAATAATTATATCCAGGCTCACCCTCCTTCCAAAGTTAGACGTAAGGTGTATGAGTTCTCAGGGCTATTGCCTGATACTCTCAAATTTGAACTAGTACCACGTGGGGATATTTGGGCGAGTCTATTCAACAATCATTGTCCGGGTAAAGAAGACATAGGATTGTATTTCTTTGCAAGTGAGAGAGAAAGGTCAGTTTCTGTCATATATCTATCCGAAAAAGGGTAAGGGTTGCAAAGTAGAAGTGCACCCTTGCCAGGAATGTTTTTAGTAGTAATTGATTTGTATTTCCCATTGTATGTAGGTCTGAGATATATATTGCTCTGGTGGAGTTCATGCGTCTCAAAGATTTGGTGATGAAGACGCTTATCAATGATGTTGAGCTGCTTATACTTCCATCTACAGCCCTGTGTAGTGATTCTCAAAGTACATTCATAATCTCTATGTTCTTTTCTCATTTTCTTATTCCCTTTCAATGAATTTTTAGGTAATAGGTATATTCAATTATGCTCTGTAGAAGATCAATTTTCCAGCCTATCAGAAGATTTTTCCTTTTTAAGTTGGCGATACTTGTTTGGTTTCGTTTGAGTATAAATGCTATAATGTGTTAAGTCATCAGGCCAAGCTCAGAAGTACTGATTGTACATTCTCTGATTTTTTATGAGAAAGAACAGATCAATTATATGTTCCTTTTGTTCAATCGAGGGCTGAAAAATATGTAACTTGGATTGTTTTATCTGTAGTTTGTGTGCCTTGAATGTAGTTTAAGTTGTATCACGCAGGCATCTAGAAATTAAGTTTATGTACTTGCCTGAGTTCTATTGATGCATACTTTAGCTATGGAGGTTCATTAAAATTTTGGAAGGCTGCCTTATACCCATCTACTTCCTCGTTTGCTCTTATCTGAAAACCACAAATGAGAAACCCTTCTTTACTTCAAAGGAGCTAAACGTAGGCATCGGGTCAGTATTATTAACTTTTTCCAGAAGTCTAGCTACGTATAATTTGCAACCCTGCTTCTAACAGTTTCTGTGTGTGATCCATTTTTATGTGTAAGTCAGGTCAATTATTTTGTCTTAAACTTGAGGGTTTTAATTGCTTGTTCACATATGACTGCAGCTCTTTGCAATAATGACACAAACTAATGGAGACAACTTTGTCATTAAATATTAGGTGTTTGTCATCTGATTGATATGTCAACATTGTCTTTCATGGGTACCATTTTCATCCAAGATATTTTACCTAAGATCATTTCTTAAGACATTTTCTGTTATTTGGTCAGACATAAAGTTGGTGGATGTAATGGTGGTAGAAGGTGGAACTGGCATATTGATCTTGGTGTTTGCTGATGTGTAACTTATATTTGTACATATGTTGAAAAGAGCAGGTGATTTAAAGTAGGACCTACCCTTCAAGATATGATTCTTTTAAGGAGACTATCTGATAATTAATTGCATAAGAAAGACGAAGATTAACTGATAATTCTGGAGCTGCATCTCACCTCGTGGATGTTCTTGCAGGATGGAACAGCAAGCACTTCCTGTGGGGATTATTTTACCGCATGGGACAAGATACAGACGGATGTGCTGAAGGGGGAAGTAACAAAGTAATCGATATGGAGATAGACATGATAGGGGGGAAAGATGTTTGTACAGCCAATGAGGTTGACATGGAGGCTTATCATCAGAATGAGGTTGAAATGCAGATAGACATGACCGGGCAGGAAGATGTCTGTACACCCAATAAGGTTGACATGGAGGGCTATCAGGATGAGGTTGAAATGGAGATAGACATGATAGCTGGAGAAAATGTAGGTACACTGGACATTGTTGTCTCGACAACTACCAGAAATGGTTTTGATACCTCTATAAAAGGAACTGCTACCTGCAGTGGGTCTGAATCAGTTACTCCTATGGTTTCAAGAACCTCCAAGGGTTGCAAGGAACTGCCTCTAGTAATCAAACGCGAGCCTGTTGATGACTTTCCTCCAGGTTTTATTCCCCGTTCAGCTCCTACTAAATGAGCCGCGCCACCTGGAAGTTAATCGTGGTTGCTGCCAACTTGTGATTATCACTACTTATTTTCAATCAATTTCATTAGGTGTTGGAGTTATAGCTTTAGCTAAGATGTCTGTTCATGACAATTGGGTGGAAAACTGTTGTTAGTATTTCTTGTTGTTACTAAATTATGGGTAAGTAGGTCTGGTTTGTAAATATGTTGGTTGGCTATGTTAGAGCAACTATTTTCATGGCTTATGTTGGAGGTGTGTTGTTTGATTAAGTAATTTTGTTCAAATTTTATATTTATCTTAAGAAATTCATTAATATGTTTAAAGTATTTATATTTGGAGCTAATAATTTGAATAAATGGAACGTTTTCATATTAACTTCTGAAATGCTCATAATTTAGGAGCAAGTACTCTATATTGAACATATATTAACCAATTCATTTTTATTCAATGTCTTTTACTCAAGTTTAAATATTCTTTCCGACTTTCTCAAATTTAAATAAGTATTTTTCTTCGGTGTATTAACTATTTTCATGGGGATTTTCTTAGGCTTTTTTTTATAGTTAAAGTTCGTTTTGTGAATTTTGACATTTGATGAACAACACACACAAAACTCAATAACGTTTTAAGATCTTTGTGAATTTTTCACCATAGAATAAATATTCTTTGATAATTTGATGTAAGAACTAAAGACAAACTCTTTGTTTTTTTTTTAATAATCTTTTTATTCCCTTTAATTCCTCATATATGTAAGTAAAATTATTGCAATTAATTGTGCAAATATCCAAAAATTATTGACAGCAAAGTTTTACTCATGTACAAAATTGAAAAGGAAAATGCATATTATCAAATAATATACGTAAGCTTAATAAAGTAGTTCATTATCGTACAAATAATTTATCTAGTTTAAATAGAATTAAACTCCAAACTCATAAGTACATAATATTTCTTAAATATAGCTTTAATATATTTTTTGTATTGTTATAGGTTAGCTAACATTTTAAGCTTCATATTCTTATCATAAGGTGCCATATAAAATGAAAAGAAAGAAAGTAATAGTACTAAATAAAAACCAAATTAATTAGCCTTCATTTGGTATCGGGACCATAACAACTCCATTAACATTAGACATAACAAAATGAGTTTTTTTGAATCTATCCTTGCAAAGTTCAAAATCAAAATAACTAAATATATAAAAATGGCTGAATACACAACTTTGGAATGTTGTTCAAATATCTAAATAAAAAATAATTATATATCATATAATTTTGTTGTAATAAAGGAATAATTTTAATTTTGAGAATAACGTTAAGAAATTTGATCCATTAGCTAGGAAGGAACACACTTTTTAGTTATTCTAATACATTGAGGGTAAGGGTGTTCATGGTTTGGATAAAAACCGATCCAAACCGAAAAACCAAACCAAACTGATTTAATTTGAGTTTTGGTTTGGTTTGGTTTTAGATTGTTAAGAACCGATAGTACTTGGTTTGGTTATGATTTTGTTCGAAAAAAATCGAAGAAATAACCGAACTGAACCAACAAGTTATATACATAAATTTTATTATTATACATACATAACATATTATATTCATAAACAATTTTAAAGATTTTATATATGTTTCATCAAAATTTATTTTTATAATTTACTTATGAAAGAAAAAATGTCCAAGGTGAGAACATTTTTCTTATTGGTTTAATGTATATGAGTGTCTCTGAATTTTTTTTGTGGGACTAAAAATGTCATTGTCTCTTCCTTCTATGTCAAAATAGTGAATTTTGAAGTTTTATTCAATAAATTCAATGATCGAAAGTTCTGTAATGCTAGTCATTCTAACTATTTTTTTGTTTGAATGGATTCTTGTCACTTTTTTCACATTTTGAATGAATTGTTTATTTTATTTTTATGTATGGTTAATAACATAATAACCGAACCAAACCAAACCAAAACCGAAAACAACCAAACCGATAAATGTATATTATATTTGGTTTGGTTTGGTTTTCATAATTTTAAAACCGATTAAGTTGGTTTAGTTTTGGTTTTGACCAATAACCGACCCAAACCAAACCGTGAACACCCCTAATTGAGGGTATTTTTTATTCAATAGTTGAAAAAGGGGCACGTTTCATTAAATAGGTGGAATAAAGACATTTTTTTTTAACTATTGGAGTGTTTGGTACGGAGGAATTTCAATTTTCACAGGTTTGATTGGTCAAAATATTTGAAAAACATTTAACTTTTAAAATAATATTATCTTATTTACTTACCAAAAAATAAAAAATAAATAAGAAACTCATTTGCCTTCTAAAATAACATTTTCTAGAAAATCATTTCCCATGAAAATCATTTTCCTTTATCTAATATGTTAAAGGTTATTTTAAAACCTTTTTCGTCTCCTCTATTAAGATTTTTAATGTACTTTTTTCATCTCAAATTAGAATCAAGTGACGTCTTAAATATTCCTTATTTAATTAGGTCAAGCAAAGGAAAATTCTCGAAAAGAAAAGAACTAATATCGTAACTTGAAAAAAATAGCACCAATAAGATTTTCTTTTATCGAAAATAGCAGTTACTTTTACCAAAAAAGAAGAAGAAGGGATCTCACATTAATGATTTGGATAAGAATGAGTTGTTCGTATAAATTCGAACAAAACAAAAAGGACAGAAATTCCTAAAAAGAGCGAAATTATATTTTTATATATTAAATAAAAAATAGCACCAACATGATTTTCTTTTGTCAAGGGAACTTACATTTAATGATTTGGATAAAAATGAGTTGTTTGGCTAAGTTCGAAGAAAACAAAAAGGACTGAGGTTTCTAAGAAGAGTGGTATTACGTTTTTATATTTTACTAGGTCGTTTGGTCTGATGGATAAAGAAAAAAAAATTTGTGATAACTTTTTAGTATCTCTCAATTATTTATTTGGTTACAAAGTGTGGCATAACTTATCATAAAATTAATAATTATGACTGACATAAGTTATCTCTATTTGTGGATGGAATACTAATCCAGGAATAACTTATCTCGGGATAAAGATGTAAAATAACAAAATTACCCCATTAAATCTTCTTTTATAAACAAACAACTTATTCTTAGAGGACATTTCTGTAAACACACAACTTACTCTTAGAAATTATGTCATGCATATTTGACAAACCAAACAACCAATAAAAATAATCTTAACATAACTAATGTCATCATAACTTATCTCAATATAATTTATTCCACCATAATTAATCCAACATAATTTGTGTTCAAACCAAACGACCCCTTAAGGTTTCCCTCCATTAAATTTCAATTGTCAAAACAACATTGGGCTTTGTGTAAAAAAGTGGACTTTTCTCTGAAAGGGCCCATTGTATAAATACGTCAAACTGAATTAGCATTGCCAGTTTTGCCAATCAGTGTGTACTCACTAGGAAAAATTGATTTTCTCTGTCAATCTACTCGTCCATGGATTCCGATTCTTTTAGGTCGTCGGAACGACGACGAGTTGGACTGATATACGATGAAAGAATGAAAAAGCATTTTGATCCAATTTTAAAGGATCATCCGGAGAGTCCAGATCGTATTTATGAAATCTGGAACAAACTTCAACATTCAGGAATCGCTCAGAGGTACTTCTTCATTTCCTTTTCGTTCTATAACCTATTTTTTTTTAAAAATTAATTATTATTTTTTGGTTCAGATGCACTGTTATGGGGGGAAAGGAAGCCAAGGATGAACATATATCTTTGGTTCATAACAGAAAACATATAGATTTCATCAAAAGCATTAGCTCAAAGCAAGAGAAGTTCTGGAAAGAGATGACTAAGAAGTACAATTCGGTATACATCAATCAAGGCTCTTCAGAAGCAGCTTACATTTCTGCAGGTTGTGTGATTGAGGTAACCTCCGTGTTTCATTTTACTTGTCCCTTAAACAAAATGATGTCCTATTTTACTTGTTCATTTTAACAAAGCAATAGAATTTTATTATTTTTCCCCATACTAGCCTTAGTATTAAATAACTACAAGTTGTCTAATTTAGATTCCTAAAGCATCATTAATAAGCTTAGTTTAGTAAAATACACTTCTAATTAATGCTTGCTTAAGGGGTGTGATAGGTCAACAACAGTGGCCAGGTAACATTAAACTGAGGGAGTGCTCAGGCTTTTTGTATAATCTGTCAGAAATTGTTGCTTTTCATTGGCTTTATACATGTTGTCTTCCTTTTTAATTGAGTATTTGGTTTGGGACTGTGTAAACTTTGTGCACTTAAGGGCATTTCTTAATCTGCTTTATGGATATTGTATTGTGGATCTTGTTCTTTTGGATGATTCTTTTGTGCTTTACTGTGTATTGTGATGATCATATTTTAGTGTTCTCCCACTTTGCATCTATGATATTCTTTAAAGCATTGAACTTGCGTGTACCATACAGGTTGCTGAGAAAGTTGCTGAAGGAGAACTAGACTCTGCCTTTGCCATTGTCAGGCCTCCCGGACATCATGCAGAACCAAATCAACCAATGGGATTTTGTTTGTTCAACAATGTTGCTATAGCTACACAATATCTCTTGGATAAAAGAGTAAGAGTTAGTTTCAGTTAGTGAAACGTAGGTGGATTCAAATCTTTGATTAGTTTTGTGAATCAAATCAACGATTTTAAATATTATCTGGTTAATTTCCTCGCAGGCTGATTTGGGGATTAAGAAGATTTTAATTGTTGATTGGGATGTCCATCATGGAAATGGCACCCAAAAGATGTTTTGGAAGGACCCTCGAGTTCTCTTCTTTTCTGTGCATAGGTACGTGTGAATGTGCTAGTCTTTATTGTATTTCTCAACCACTTGAAGGCTTTAGGATGTAAATAAGCTGACAAAGAAGATTATTTGTTTAAAAAGGTATCAAATTTAGTCTCTTATGGTGTATCATTGTTGGTCTTAATTAGGCACGATTTTGGAACCTATTATCCTTGTGATGAAGCTGGGTCACATAAAATGACTGGTGAAGGACCGGGAAAAGGATACAATATAAATGTTCCTTGGGAGCATGGCGGTTGTGGTGATGCAGACTATCTTGCTGTGT